TGGCAGAATGTAATCATCAAACTGTAACTTAAGCATGCATCCAAGCTGTAAGTCATGTGGATATTGAATTTGAAAATATCATTGCCTTTTGTAACACATTTGGCAGCCTATTGCAAAAGAGATCATAGAGAAGTGTTGTTAAATATCTTTAACAACAGCTACCATGTATTGTGCTTGGTACTTATTTTAAATCTGGTTGGTGAAGTGTTTTCAAATTGGCCAGCATTTGATAATGTTACCCAGCTCACTACTTTCATCAAATCAACTCTTTTTAGAAAGCTGAGTCGAAAAAACAATATTTGAAATGACTTGAAAATTATTTGCCCAAAGAACAAGTGAAATTACCCCTGTTATAAAATAAAATAAGACGTATCTCGGCTGATTTGCAGGCAAATAAACTAACATACTCAAGAGCAAGAGCCGGATGTGAACGGGACAAGGCCCCATCACAAAATGACCATTATTGTCATTTGCGCATCGGCCTGATGCATGAGTTTCAGTCCAAAAATAAAATAATATTTTAAAGTGTTTCTATTTTTCGACCAATAAAAATGCTTCCCTCCTAATTATACTCGCATCGTTTTTCAAGCCTGTGAAGCCATAAAAAGTGCTATAAAAGGGGTCACACGGGGAAGTACTAGGCAGTCAACAGGAGGCCAGGGAAGAGATCTGTCACGGTCAGCCTGGACAGTCAGCAAGGAGGAGTGCCATCCCCACCAGTGAGAACTACTATGAGAGATCAACCCAGATTGGCAGCCGGCTTATGAACTATACCACAAGGTAGCTGTCCCAAAACCACACGTTCCTATTGAAATAAATCATGTAAATCTATTTCTGTTGTTGTCGTATTTCTTTCTTGCAACCATATGCTTGTCTATGACACCCCTGTACCAGTGGCAACCAGATGGAATTCCTGGTTTAATGCAGCCAGATATCACTCATCCTTTATACAATTTTATGAAGGATTCTTTAAGCAAGAAAAGTGTAATGGCTTTGCAGTAAGATAGAATTCTTGAATTAGTAGATGGTGGTCAACTACATCATGCCTCTTTCTTTAATTTGCACCTAAATCTGCATTTTATAAATGAGAACTGCACACGTTTAATAAAAGCTTTGACAAGCTTAGAAGAAACTAAGTCTCCACTTGCATGTGTTGTTTATAATATGATGGAGGATGTGAAACAATATTTACATGTTGGTATATGAAAATCAACATCGTCTTCTGCCTGAACTAAAAACCACAGAGAAGGAGAGAGTGATATCAAATTTTCAAGATTTGTTCAGCATATCTTTTTCTAAATTGAATAAATACATGGAGGCCCACCCTGTATATAACTTTTACAAGGCAGCTCATCTATTTGATCCTAGACAGCTAACCTGTATAAGCCATGATATTGATAGTTTTGCAGCGATTAAAGACTTGCAAGATCCTTCTACTGATCTTATAAAAGAATTTCAAATTTATGTGAATTACAAAGATGACTTACCTAATCCTTTTCATATCCCAGCATTTTGGAAAGCAAATAAGAGCAGATTTCCTCTTCTGGAATAGATTGCCAATAAGGTCATATGGATGCCTGTTACAGTGTTGATGTTGAACGTTCATTTTCTCAATATAAACATTTAATGAATAAATGTGAAAATCTAACTCCTGAGAATACCAAACAATTTAAAATGTATTTCAATGGAGATTTAGAGAAAAGATTTAATTTCTAACTTCATAATTTGGGAAATATTTAATTTTAAATTTGAGCAGTATTTCAATTTGTGATAAATTTTATTTAAATTTTGAATTAATGCTTATATTTTGTTACAGAGATTGAATTATGATTTAATTATTGTTTTGTAAAATTGTAGTCAAAGTTTTTAATATACTTTGAGTTATTTGCTGTTGATTCTTTTATTGATTTTAATATTGCAGACTACCATATAATTATCAATCTGAATTCTTTTAAATAAAAATAGAACTTATTTTTGGAATTTAATTTTTCATTTGCTATTTCTTCATAGGAAATAAAACTTTGAATTCTCTTTTTTAAGTTTTAATTTATCCAATTTTCTCATAAAATTTTAAAAAAATAAATTAATTAAATAAAGTAAAAATTAAATTTTGCAAAAGTGAAAATGGAAAAAAACGGAATTTACTAAAATTGGAAACGGAATCAATGAAAATTTTAAACAGAAAATCGGGGTCACTAATAATGCCACATTTGATTTATGACATCTTAACTAATCCCCTATGTACAAATTTAGTGGGGGTGAAAAATTTTAACAAAAATATCCCCAATGAAAGAAAAACTAAAAACATTGTTAGTAAGATGGCACCCTCCACCTCCACACAATCTAATCACGGCAGTGACAACAGTTAACTGGACAAAAAATACTGCAGGATTAATACAATTCAAGTCATGCATGTATTGAATCATTTATGCTCTTACTCACACAATAACAATTATGAAAATGTATGCACACAAAATGAAAGGTATCTAGAGAACTGAAATCTCTGTCACCTAATGTGAAAAGATAGGGGAATTAAACTAAAGGGGCCAAAAATAAACAGCCAATGACCTTTCATTTTCTAGATAAGTGTTGTGTCTGTGGGTGTGCTTATTTATGTCAAATAAGTACAAAGACACAACTCAAACTTTTATACATTTTATTCCCTATTGGGTAACAATACATGTAAACATGGCCAGTGGATTACTGGTGGATTAATAGTGTCAGTTACATGACAGAATATCTGACTGCCATTTTGAAATCTCTTTTCGTCTCTGTTTTAGAGAGTTCTGATCAAGGTGCATAAATTGGTTCCCATATAGCGAGTGAGTTAGTTCCCTTGTTATGATGCCCATCCTAACACCTCTCCCTTGAAGTGTGATGCTTGTAGGATGTTTGACAAGGATTTATCTCTAGAGCTATGTTTAGTTTGCACTTATGATTTGTCTTTCTCATCGTACCTTTTTTTGAGGCTTTGGTTGTTTATTGATTTCACTTGTAAACTTTGAGGGAGTTCAAATGTGTCCAATAAAATATTAATTGGAATGACTGTCATTTGATTTGGTGTCTGGAAAGCCAGAAAAGCATAATTGATTTCCATGACTAACCCAGATAGATGACTGCACAACATCATAGATGACATTTCAAGTGTGCTGCATGGTATTCACTTTTCTTTCCTGTTATGGTAATCCTTGGAAAATACAGGTTGTTCTGGTACAAATAAATGTGGCACTGCTCCATGATAGCAGTTGAACTATTTTTTTCCATTTTAAACATCATAACTTGGTTCCCATCTAAGGAGCAAGTTAACTACAGTGTTATGATATCTGTCCTAACAAAAGTTAACATCAAAAGAACAAAACTAAAGATAAAAAAACCCTAATCTACCCTAACACTGCACTGGGATGACTCATATTTAGCTAGAAGGTCAATCTCGTTTTTCCTAGCTCCTGTCAAGATGCCACTCTAAATTAGCACCATTCAATCAAACTAATAGCAAAACAGACACCTACCTTTTGCTGAATTTTAACTGAAAAGACTCACTTCCTTTATGCCCTTTAAGATGATGTTTAAAATACAAAATCAGTTATGAAGAGGAAAACTTCTCACCTCTTTGAAATTCCTTCTGTCATGTCATCCAAACCATCATATTGCCAAATAAGCACAAGAACATAAAATGCTGAGTAACTGCAATAATATTCTTGTTCAGCGGCAAATAGAACTGGTCTCAAGAGCAAAATCCTTTCTGCCCAACATGCAGAACAAATCTTTTGTGATCAAATTGTAAATAATACTTCAATAAAATACAATTTTCCTCCATAGTCCTCCTCTACGGATTTTCTTTTCACTTTTCTTTCTGTATAAGTCAATTTGGGTCAGAAAAACATTTCTCTATTGAAAATGATTTTTTAAATCACAAATTCTACAGAATTAATAATTTTGGACATAACTGTATATCGCAAAATTTAAATTGAACATCAATACAATATAATTTTTCATGTAATACCAGGTTGACATTTTTTGTATGTATGAATATGAATGTATGCATATAAATGTTCAATTATATAAGAGTGAGTGAAAGAGAGAAAGAGAATATAACAGGTTTCTTAAAAATATTTTGCCATGATTTCTAGTGAAAAGTAGCTTTTTTATACTGTTAGTTCATACAATACAAGATTAAGGAAGGGAAGAAGAGGATTTGTAGAATAGATATCAGTTGACACTTGGCTTGAAGAGATATAGATTGTAGTTGTCAAGGAAGCATCTTATCAGGAGTTTGTTCCACAAAGTAACAGTTCTGAAGGAAGAAGCTGTCTGAAGGAACATACTTTTTTCTAAGGGAACATGAAGGGAATAGGATGATTTTCCTAGCTGTGAAGGTCTGAGCTGGTGGAACTAAGGAATGTAACTAATCTGAACATTTGCCCTGGTAATAGTGATAGAGTAGGCTACCAACATTTCATCTGTGGAATAAGGGTTGCAGGCTGGTGGAGAATAATTCATCACCCAAAAGGCTGCATAATTGCTTTTGAACTCTGTTGAGGCTAGGCTGTACCAGCACAGATAGAGCTGTAATTTTATAACACCCTCCCCAGCTTTCAACACTGTGGCTGGTTGCTGAAGTGACTGCTTTAATCCAGTGCTAACCTTATCCCACATTGTGATTTTTAGATCATAAGGCAGCCTAGATTGAATCATCATAGGTATCTTCATGTTGAGATGGTCCAAGCAGGGTGAAGACACACAGGAAAAAAAATAACATTCAAATAAATTGAACAAAAGTAAATGCTTCTTTTATATCAGTCCTTCGTACAATAATTGGTTATATTAAAGTTTGCATGCAATTAATTATCAGCCCAACCCACATCTAAGTCGGAAGTGATATTATTGTTGACTTGGTAAAGTTTGGGTTACTGTTTTGGTAAAGTTTGGCACAAGGCTGAAGTTAGTGGGGTTCTCTTTGGTAGGCAATCATGTAGGGTGTATCACGGCCTGTAGCTGGGATGAACTCTCTGCTATCTCTCTCCTGTCTCTGGTCTCCATCTCTGTCTCTTCTACCTCTTTTCTTTCTTCTATTTAATTCACTTTGCACATTCATATTTATGGACATTCGTCCAAACTGGCATGGTGGAGACATCATCTCTTTTATTATCCTCTCTCACCAACCTCTTTAGTGAGCATGGGTGGTTCCTTCATCCTCCTTGATGCCTTATCTGTGCATGCTACCGTGACCATTTTCCTTGACCATTGCATTGCCCGATTTTTGTTTTTAACTGGAAGGAGACATCAGAACTTATGCTAAGTTAAAATTTAATATGATTAGTCATATCATAATTATTTCCCCTAAAATAGTTCTTGATATACTCTCAATTCCCCCAAAATGATATTAATCATCCAGTAATCTCCTACTAGCCTGGTTTGGGTCTACAGCCTTATTTGGAGATCTTCTTAGAGTTGGCATTTCAATAAAATCACGAAGCCTCCTGTGCTGCAAGCAGGTTAATAGGAGTAGATAGGCTCACGTATTAGATTCACTCTACTTCAATGTCTATTGAACAGGGGTAGTGGATCCTCCTTGTTCCCTGTTCAGGATATGGTTTACTGGTTCTTTCTTCTTCTAGGGCCATGATAACTTTTTGGTGATTGAACTAATCTGTGGCTGTGACTTTCCATTATGAGGGTACCATGTTAGCAGTTTACTAGTTGCTGCTTCTGACTGAGCTAAACTCCTTGGTAGCACTTAGAGAGGTTGTTCTGACCAGTAGTCTCATAATGTTAGGGTATTTGTAATACCATGTTGCACATGAGTAGATGTAACCTGCATGTATTTCTGGTGAGCAACCCTGATGCTATATTATTCTCTGGTCAGTTCATATTGTCATTGATGACAGATAGTGATAATTATGTTGGCCCTTTCTTTTTCTCCTCTACACAATCTCCTCATGCCAAACACAATGAAAAAAATATGAGCAAATCAGTAAACAGAAAACACCTATCCCCCTCAACCATTCTTTCTCTAACTTCAGCAGTATAGAATCTTTTTTCATGGAATGGTTGCTAGATATCTTTGCACTTTGCAAAACAAACTTAAATTCTGCCATTGCTACCAATGATTTCTCTGTTCCAAGCTATCTTTGCCTTTTCTGAAAAGATTCCAGCATTCACATGCTTGACTTTGATGTGGGATAATCTTCAGATGACAAGGTAATTATCTCATGAGTCCCCAGACAACTCTTTCATGTGCTTTTTTCTTTCATTATTACACTCTGTTAGCTATCTCTTTTTCCTTTATCCCTCCTCCTCATCTCAGGGCTGCAGTATATTAGATATAATCTCTGACAGTATAGAAAAGGCACTCTCTCTCCATCCATCTTTGTCTTAATGCCCACCATGACATGTGGCTTAAACATTCTAATGTTAATGATGTTGCCAGTATTTAGACATTAAATTTTTTCATTGGTCAATCCCTTACTCAAATTGTGGATTTCTCTACTTGTTTACCTTGCAAAAGCAAACAACAGGATTCTCTACTTGACTTTGTAGTATCCATTGATATTTCATTCCAATCATCTATTAAACAGGAACTTCCTATTCATAAGATCTCTGTCCATTACCAGCATGCTGATTTGGATTTTCTTTGAGACACCTCTTGGACAGACATCTTTAACCTTCAAAATGAGAATTGTGCCACTGAAATTTACTCTTGGATCAAAGCCAGCATGGATGCTTTCATTCTTTCTTGGAAATACTAGATGAAACCTCAATCTTCTCCATGGTTTATACCAGCATGCTCTGTCATTATTTCCTATCTGATAAGTGATCTAAGTACTATTTGTTTTAACTTTGTTTCTTGTGATTAATATAAATATGCTGTAAATATATAGTTAGAAGTTTTGTCTATTACACAGAATTAGATAATGATTATATATTTTTGCAGGTGCTGCCAGTGGCATTGGACGTAGTGTGTGCCAGTTGTTTGCTCGTGAAGGTGCAAGAATTATTGCTGTTGATATTCAAGAAGAAGCTAATATGGAAACTCTAAAATCTTTAGCACAAGGTTTGAAGTCTTTTTATTATCATTATCATCACTATTTTGTTAATTTCAGTTTTTGTTCTTTGAGTAAAAAGGATGATTTTTTCTTTGTAAATTGTCTTTTGTTTTTCAACATATAACACTTGTTTTGTTGATATTTTGCTTACTCTATTTCTCACAGTTATGCATTCATATATTTTATTTGAATAAAATTTTATTTGTTTTGTAATGAAACAAAGAATTAAGACATAAGACAAAATCTTCCACTGAAATCTTGATATCTTAATTTCACCACAACAGTTGAGGCATGCATTTAAGTGTTTTATCTCATAAAAGTTTACTACTTGTGTTGGGGTTTCAATAAAAAATATATTAGTCTTCAAAATTGTCCTTTGAATATTTGTCATGCTCTTCACTGAGCCCATGATCACAAAAGTAACAATGATGGTGGTGGTGGGGGTCTATTGTAGTTCTTCATAATGAGATAATTACTGTTGGGTTGTTGGACATCCTAGAGTTGGATTCAAAATGAACATCATTGGAGTGAGTAGATGTGCTAAGGGTTGACTCCACCATTCTCTAATTTTCTGAGAATGTGCCACTTTTGCTTACATTGGAGTCCAGCTCAAGCAATGCTTTTCAACTAGACTTGGTATGAATGTACCATGTTGGTTGGTGTAGATGAGGCTGACATGTCATCCTTGTGTGTGACACTATACCACTAAACTGCTTCTGTAGCTGTGCACTGCTTCTATATTGCAATTCTTTTCATGATTTGATAGCATCTCTACTTTCTCATTTCCTGCAAGCACATGGCAATCAGATCCAGATACCCCATCTCTCTAAGTTACTAGTTTCAGAATACCATATGATTGTCGCTAAGGAGCTCAGTTGGGGGAGAGACCACATTAGAAGAACACTGATACCAACTCAGATGATATTATCAGTGTTTTGCCACACCAGCAGTCACTAGATTGAAAATACCATAGAGCCACAATCAATCAATTTTAAAAATGATTACCATGGTTAGTGAGTAATATCCATACACAGCCTGCTCCACATCTTCACATCTGCTCCATGGCTGGTCTCCCTTTTCACCAATGTACTGGAACTTGGTCCACAGACAGAAATGCTGCACAATTCTGGACCACTGACCTCACTGCCTTTTTTTATATGGAAGCCTCAGTTCTTTGTACAAAATACAGCGTTGATTTAAATCTGGGGACCAACCCCGAAGATCAGCACCCAAAGACCCCAACAGCAGAATAGGCAAAGATCTACATGATCTCAATGACCAAATCAGCAGAAGAGAGCAACACCATTTGGGCTGGCATAACCAAGGCAGACCATGACAGTTTGATGCAACCAGGTTTGCCAGATCTTGGCTGTCTCAATCCCCTTTGAGCTATGAGGGAGGTGCTTCTGGCCAAGTGTGTGGGCTTCTCCATCGTGCAGAGTTGTTCATAATCAAATTCATATGAATGGCCTCATTAAACTCACTTTGACTTCAGTTTCTGCCACCCTTCAGAAAGCCCAGTGACAATTGTTCCACGAAGCCCCTGGTTCATGCCCACACATTGGTGGCAGGTTTGCAATGTATCCCTTGTAACCTGAAATGATGCAGCAGCTGAACGCATGACTTGACAATTCAGAATTCATGCAGCCCACTCCAAGTGAAGAAGCCACTAGAAAAGTTGCGGTAATCATTGGTCATCACAAATACATCTGGCTGGCTAACCATGGTCAGCAGGTAACCCATTCTTGTGGCTGAAAATTTAAGATTTCAAACTTACAAAACCTCTGTTGCTTTCAACTCCTTGACTATCAGAGCATGGAACATATGTATGTTGATGGACATAAAGGACATGGAATGCCAAGAGAGAACAGCATTTGTGTTTTGTGAGTTGGCTGTTTCAACATAAAACCAGATTTGCTGAAGAAGAAAACATCAGAGAAATCAGATCCAACTATATGATCTTTTGGAAAGGGAAGGAGGCAAGCGAGCAACACATTTACAGGGTTGGCTTTGCTGTAAAGACCAAACTCATGGAACAACACTACCTCATCTCCATTTGCTATCAACAAACACTTGATGCCTCTCTGAATCCCATTCAAGCATGGTAGTTACCTGACTCATCTCCATCTATTCACCTACCCTTGTTTCTGTTGATGGCAATCAAAGAATTCTTCTATGATCTTTTTGTATCAGATGGAGTGGGCTGCATGAATTCTGAATAGGCCAGTCCAGTCATGCGATTTTGGCACTTCAATGCCAGAGTTTGTTGCGATTATTGTACATGGAAGGGCATTCTTGGTTGCTATGGTATTGTCAAATGCAACACAAATGGACATCTGCTTTTTGGGCACTGTGCAGAACACAACCTGACTGTGGCCAACACCCTGTTCTGACTCCTGAATCAGCACTAATCAACCTGGCTGCACCCAAGATCCAAGCACTGGCACATTGACCCCGGGACAAAAGGGGTGTTCACATCACCCATTCCATGTCTGAAGTAGATGTTCTGTCTTCTGACCACCTAGGCATCCTCCTGCTGGCAGGCCTCACTGATGCTTTGACTGTGTGAAGTTCTAGGACGCACAAATATCAGAGCTCTTTGAACTATCTGTTGAAAAATACCTCAGCAACTCATCAGACACAAAGTCTATCAGTGAAAAATGGATAACCCTGTGTTATTCAATGACAGCAGCTGAAGAAGTTCTTAGGTTTCAGAAAAGGAAAAATCAGGACTGGTTCAGTGAGTAATGGAGAAATTGACCAGTTGATTAAGCAAAAATGAGAAGCACAAATGACTTTTAAGAACCTCTTCTCAGTTGAAAAGAAAAAAATCTATCAGGAGGCAATGAAGAACTGCCAAAGATGACTCCATGCAATCTAGAACACATGGTGGCAGTCAAAGGTAGCAGAAATTCAACAATATATTGAACAATGGGATATGCATCATTTTTATGCATCCACAAAGGAAATCTTTGGACTCATCCAATCAATGGTGGCAGGACTCTGATGGTAGCACCATCTTTATTAGTCCTAAGTACTTCCAGGACTGCTGGAAAAACTACTATCAAGGATCCACCCCGAAATGTTATTATAGTATGGATAGATAATGCCAGGTTAGGATCAATATATCCCGCATGATGATATTCCTTTTTATTTCTCAATTGATGTTCCGTTAAAGGATTCTTGTCTAGGGGTTAGGGTTGCTTCCCTTGTATTATCGTATCATTGGCGGAATAGATAAAGTAAAAAAAAAAAGTAAATATTAATTCAATTAGAATTTAATTGAATTTAATTTTCCCGAGTCCCCTAAATGACACATTCGACTGACCATAGACCAAGGACAAACGAAACAATAGATGTTAATAAATATAACATTTTAATAACACGTAAATGGGACAAATGACAATAACATTTAAACGGATAGCATGAAATGTTGCATATATAACCAAAGTTGGGAGAAGATGAGCAATAACGAATGCAGAACTCAACATATGTAATGGGATAATATTGATAATCTGATATTACGTATGTAATGGTGTTTGCATGAACATAATGTTATTGTACTGTTGCAAGCTACAATAATATCGGGAATGGGATACAAGAACTTATCTGATATTTTGTGATTTAGCGGACAATTTTGATAACAGTCTTTTCTATATTTCTTTCTTTCTGATGACTGGAGGTTAGATTTCGATCGGGATCATGTCTTCCGCCTTGGGTTTGAATTCAGGATTCCTCCTTGAAATGACGATATTTGAGTTGCGAAGGCCTACTGCATTAGACACTTTTACATTCTCGGCACTGGAACAATCTGGTTTGTTTCTCTGCTTTGGGGAATGTGCGGTCTCAGCTTATTGGTTGGAGTTTGCAGTTTGTGTGACTTCACTCGTCAACGGCTGGCCTGCTACTAATTTTCTAGATTCACCACGTTCATCTCTTCCTTTTTGGCGCCTAATTTCCTGCTTGCTGATTGGCTGCTCTCGACCAATTGCGTTGCCGTTTTCACATGCTGCTGGCTTTATTTTTAGCATTCAACTACGTGTGTGTGATTTACGTCATGGTGTGGGAAGGGGATGGGTGTTATATGTCGGCTTGCATTCGTCACACTACTTCCAGAGCCTTATCAACAACCATGCCACCATCCTGGAATACGTCCTGCAAAACACTCCCTATCTCTCTGTCCAGCATTGGATCTCATTCTCCACAACCTCCTTTGAATTGAAAGAAGTACTTCTCTTCATGAAACCTGAAAAAGCTCCCAGACCCAACAATGTGCCGCTGGAAATTTCCTCCCATGGTGTCCTTGAATTGAAAACCCAGCTAATGATCCTGGTACAGAGAACCTGGGAAGATAAAACAGTCCCTGAGGACTTTAAAAATGCCAACATTGTGATGATCTTCAAAAAAGGAGACTGCTTACTCTGCAGAAACTCTCATGGCATCTCCCTCCTAAGCATCACTGGCAAGTTCTTAGAGGGAATACTACACTGATGCCTTCACGGCAAATTCCACCACCATCACCACAACCACCTGGGGGGAGAAAGAGAATAAGGTGAGAGAATGATGATGTGAGTAGGTGCTGACAAATTCTCTCCTTGCATTTCACATTTCTAGAGCATCAGATGCAGATACTGCTTGGTACCTTAACAGTATTGATACCAAGCAATAGGTTGAATAAATCCTGGGCTGTCTACTACATTGAGCAGAACTTCGACTTTTTTGGCAATAAAAAACACAGGCTTTAAGAGCTTGATGCCCTTCTTCAGTGTTAAGCTATTTTTGCAGAACTGGTCAGCTGATCTGTTCAATTCTCGTTCAATTCTAGTGCTACACTGACTGAAAATTGAATTCCTGTATCAGTGAGGACAGTGTGTCCAACCTTATGAGTATTTTCATCTCTTTATGAGCATTGGTGGCTTTGGTGTTCAACTGAGACTTGCCTGTAAAGCCATTGGTTATCCAGTGATACATGTAATATGTATCACCCTTGCTTGCCACTTGAGTGTGAAATTGATTCTTTTCAGTAGGGCATTGAGCTCCATCATATTAATGTGCTATGTCTTTTATTGGTCACAGCCACCATGAATCTTCAATTATAGTTTCACAAGACATTGCCACATCCAGTGAATTTGCATCCACCCACATATCTAGCTTCCTTTCCATATCTCCGACTTGTTTTCCCAGACAATCATGAGCCATGTGGCCAATTTTCAGCTTGAGGTCGAACTTGCCATCTAGCCAAAATAGCTTGTTTGTGTTTTTGTAAAGAAAGAGAACAAAACTAAAAGTTAGAAATCAGACCAGGTGGAATGTAATTTCTTTTAATGCTAGTAATTCATTTCACATTTATTATTACTGTTAAATACATAGGAGTTTCAAATTAGTGTCTTCCTTTTCCTAATTCTACTGCTTGATAGTGGTATGCAGTATGGAACATGAATTACTTGTTTGCAACAATGATGAGGATAGAAAAATAGTAGTCTGTGCCAGCGAGTTTACCTTTTATGTAAGAGAAACTTTGTTTTTTCTGTGGTTCCTATATCTTGTGGTTTTAGTGAACTTCTCTCTGATATACACCCTCTGCCCCATTACGATTATTATCTGCTTTTTGTAATGTCAAAACAACTTTGTTTATCTTGAAATACAAATCTGAAACTAGTCACAAGTGATGTAATGACATGATTTAACTATTATTTTATGTCTTGTAAGAGTCTCTTTTAGTTCACAACCAAATGATTATTGACTTTTTTATAGATAATTTTTAATTTTGGCTGAGAAAGTTATGTTACAGGGCCATACCCAGGTTTACTAAGTTATTAAGTTATCTTCAAGTTAATATTTAGATTTGATTCATTAAGCACCCCACAATATATCTAATTTCTTGAAAGTAATTTTCTTAATTAGTTCTTTTTCTTACATTTAATTCCAACAAATATTAAGCACAATAAAGCATTCTCTCATGTTTTTCCAAAGTTCTATACAATAAAACCAGACTTTTCTACATTTAACTCTGTCAATTGCTATCAAGCTTCCTTAATCTACACAATTGGATTACCACTCACCTCATCACACAATGGAGAGAAAACAAAACATAGTGAATGGAGGTGTTAAGTTGGTGAAAAAGGTGGTCTTCCTCTACATAGAAGTAGAAAACCATGTAAAAACTATCAAGGGCCAGAGACACAGAGAAACTGGTGTAGAGGATAGACACTCATACAAGGACCTGAGACTTGCTTCTAGGCCAAAGGACCAACTTCAGACTTAGGGAACCCCAGACCTGTTCTGATGAAATGTATACCTGTTATCTGTCAATAACTGACACCTCTGGTAAGTCACGCTATGCATTCTATATAGTGGAGGATAATGTCTGTATTAACTTTTCTAATAATAACAAATTTTGCTATTGTTATAAGTTGCATCTAACTTATACACCCCAACAGTTGATAACAAACAGTGAATAGATACATCATTACATTTGCTTTTATTCATGGATTTACATAATTTTAGAGATTTATTAAAAACTTTTTTTTCAGGAAATCATTGTGCTATGACTGCTGATATTTCCAATGTTGCATCTGTTAATGAAATCTTTACAAAACTTAAAGAACGATTTAATGCAGTTCCCACAGTTATTGTAAATTCAGCAGGGATTACCAGAGATAACATTTTGTTACGAGCAACTGAAGAAGATTTCAATGAAGTTATTGCTATAAATCTGAAGGTAAGCTTGTAAATTTGTGCATTATATATCCATAGTAAATTCTTACATTTTCACATGTGCTTTGAATAATCGGAATGAATCCTAGAGGCATGATTGAACTATTCGATATTATTTACTCCTTTGTAAATACATGTGCACACACACACATATTCATACACTCAAACACGTATGTATAATAGAAGTACATGTTATAATTTGTTTTCTTCACACATATCACATGCACACATAAATATACATATTATTTTTTTTAATCATCTCACTCCAAGCAAGGAAATTAAGAAGACAAAAGATAATGATTGGCATTGCATTTAAATTTTTGAAGATCAAAGTTAACTGGAAAGCAAGAGGCCAGACTTGTGGAACTCTCTTCTGGCCTCTTGCTTTCTAATTAACTGGTCTCATTTAAATACACATGGAGACCTATCAAACTCTATTCACAACATACTTGTTCAAAAAGTAATGGAAGTATTATTAATAAAAAAACAAGCCAACACTCAATAATATCAACTATGAACATGGTCACAATGTGCTGTGTTTGGAAAATAAAACATTTCTATAACTCTAGATACATAACATAAAATAATGCATATATTCTGTTAAAAATAAAATAAAATTCATCCTTGATAATAGCTAAAAGTATAGCCAAACATTTGGACAATTTTTATATAATTTATGTCTTGAAAAGAAAAAATTATATGAACACATGAGAAATTATATAAAAAACTCAACCACCATACTGTTGTTTTCAAGAAAACTTGCATATATATCTGTCATACCACAAATCATGAGATAGATACCTAGTATTATAGAACATCTTCCAGCCTGGCAAAGTGCAGCAGTTTGATGTAGAATTGTTTAGAAGACCCTTAGAGATATGTTGAGTTATGCTGTCTTGATGGCTGACCTCAGCTCTTTGATATATGCAGTTGCAACAATCTTTTATGTGAATAGATCTTTCTACCATATTTGATAAATGCTTGATTGGGCACATTTTTGTGAATGTAATGACCACCCTATTTGTTAGAATTCTCTACTCTGCTCCTTAAAACAATTCTGGGCAAGTTGGACCCAATGACAGTGCATTCTTCTGATTTTATCCTCCCCTGCCCATATCACCACTTCAAATGTATCTAAGTTGTAATGAAGCTTTACATCCATATTAGATTTTAACGTTTATTCTGAGTTTTTGGCCTTTCAATTAAAACAAAATAAATAACAAAATATATGTATTTTTTTCCTCAGTTTCTTCTTTAAATAATTTTATATTTTAAACTTAATAGAAATTAAATTTAAAATTGGTAATTTTTAATTTTCAATTTTATAGTAAAATCTAATATTAATTATAATGGTTTCTATTTTAGTCTAACCCTAACATGAAGTCATTAATTATTATAACCAAGGTTCATTGTCAAGTTTTTTGAATTCTCATATACTTGTATTTTGATTGGTCATTGCAGCTTTTGTAAAAGTGTTCCCCCTATTGAGGGGTGTTTGGTCAATTTGAACTTTTTAAAACCCTTTATTCAACACCATCACTTGATAAGACAGCAGAAGTGTTGAACGAAAATGGCTATTTTGTAGTGATTTTATAACAAATTTATGTTATAATTTTTGAATAAATTATATAATATATATATATATATATATATATATATAAATATGGTCTTACAACCAATTATTTCCCAGATACCAGCACCTATCTATGAGCTATCAAAATTCTTGAATGACATCATCACTCCATACCTACCTACCAATTACAGCATCACATCCACCCATGCTGAGCACATTTGAGAAAAAACTCCGTCCTTAACTTTACCTATGAACTTAGCCAAAACAAACTTCCACTCTTAGATGTCCTCGTTGAATACAGCAATAACACTTTCATTACATCATTATACAAAAAACCCACCAGCAAAAACTTGTGCCACCTTAACTTCAAAAGCGAATGTCCACTTAGGTACAAAATAGCAGTAATAAAAAACTTTCTAAATAGAGCACACCAGAATTCATCTTCTCGACTACTCTTCCTCAAAGAACTTAATAATGTTAATCAAACACTAATCAACAACGGCTTACAAAGAACGAACATTATCTATGAGTTCAAATGCCCCTTAAGGAACTGTGTTCCTGATAAAACTGGACTCATAAATAATTACATTGGTTACACAACTACATGCTTATCCAGACGTCTTACGTTACACCTATCTGACCTCAGCTCCATTAGAACCCATTTAAACACAGACACAAATTTACCATACTCCTTTAGAAACATACTAGTAGAAAATACAAATATATTAACTGCATCCACCTGCAAAAAAAGATTAAAAATAATGGAAGCTTTAATAATAAAAAAGAAAAGGCCAACTCTTAACAATATTAACTATGAACAAAGCCACAATGTGCTAACTGTATTTGAAAATTAAAAACATCCCTACCACACACTAAGACATGCACATAACGCACATATTCAAGTAAGCTTAAAAATCAAATCATCCTTGATAATGGCTAAAGGTATAGCCAAAAGCGCTCGGAAATATAAAACATTTGGACAGTTCTTACACACCCTTTGTCCAGAAAAGAAAGCTCTTGTTCGAACACAAGAAAAATGAAATAAAAAGCTTAACTGTAGTACCTTGTCTGTCGTTTTTAATGAAACATGCACGCACACACACACACACACACATATATATATATATATATATATATAGCATAATGAGAAGCCACGTATATCTTCATTCAAGCATGTTTGTTGAATAATCTAGACATATTATGTCTATTTATTTTTATTTTAATCCTCTCAAGTTCACAAATCAATTTTTTAGTGTCTGTACAAAATTGATCAAGAAAAAAGTTATAATTACCCATATTATTTTTATTTTCCCAAGTACTTTCAGTCTCATACAAGATTATCTTCAGGTATGAATTTGTTAAGACAAAAAATGAATGTAAATTATGAATATGTAAGCATGAAAGCTGTAAAATTCAAAACATTTACCACTATGTAATGGAGGTAACTTAATTTATGTAAAAATTCTTACTAAAAATTCTACTTAATCTGTTTTAAAATATTGTTTTTAATTGTAGTTTTAGCAATTACAATTTAGATATTTTAAAACCTTGTTGTTATAATAAACATTTTAGAACTTTGTTGCTTTACTCATAATTGATTTAATTTATTTGTACAGACATTAAGAAATTGATTTTTGAACTTGAGAGGATTAAAATAAAAACAAATAGACATAATATGTCTAGATTATTCAACCATATATATATATATATATATATATATATATATATATATATATATATATATATAAAAACATATCCAGGTATGATGAGAATGAATAGAGTATAATTCCAATGTTCGTAACATTTAATTTAAAAGAGAGTTCAATACAGAGTAGAGCAATATTATTTGTTTTAGGATATTACTCCAAAAACATGTAAAAATCGCTACACAATTGCAGTTGTGATTCATTATTTTTCATATAAAGTTGAAATGTTAAATTCAACCTTATATGAAAAATAATGCCAACCCAATTCACTCCAATTCTAATAACCCTACATCTGTAATCCAACATATACTTTTGTCTGTAGAACATAGGATTAGCAACCACTCATCAGACAAAGATGTTTTTGATAAATATAGCAGTGTTTATAATAAAGTTTTAAAGAATAGTTCACTCATCAGCAATTTACAATTGCCTGATGAGATGCACTGATATGTACTGAAACACGACTGTATTTTTTCGGTCTAATATCCTAAAATAAAATATATATATATATATATATATAACCTTGTAGTTGTTGTTCCCATGGGAGAGCCGTCAAATTCAGGAATTAATTTCAGGTCGAACTTATCCATAGTTGACAAGAGCCGAGTTGTTGTTGCAATCCGCGATGTCTGACGAAACTTCCTGATATAGGATGATGTCGCCTTCATCATCTGTTCTTCTTGTGCCAGCACTGTACTGATGATAGCCTTCATGATCATTGGTGCCATGTTTAGCCTGAAGCCCAACCACGTGAGGCAATATCTTTTCCCCTTGATCAGTACAGTCTGAAATGCCCAGAGAGACTTGTGGACTCGTACTTGTAAGTAGGCCCTCCACAGGTCAAGCAGTGCCACATTAACTCCTTGCTGACACCACTCCCTCAATCTGGCTGTACATACATCTGCATCAATTCCGTCAATTGTCCGCATTTCTACTTGTTGTTCACTCCATACATTACATCGGTCAGCACTAATTATCGATCGGGAACATCCAGTGTCGACGAGCACCAAACATCGCACACCATCAACTTGCACGTTAACTACAGGCAATGCTGCATTTACTGGCCAAGAGGGGGCAAGGCTAGCGACGGCACCTTGTCCCCGGACCCTTTTCCCAAACAATTTTGTGCTATGTGGCCCAGCTCGTTACAGTGATTGCAACGCAATCGCTCTGTGTTCATTGGTTATTGGCACCTCCTGCATTACCCTGGCCTCGACAGTGTAGTGGTTAGGATCACCACATCTGTAGCATTGTGGGCTTTCTTGTGGCCTTAGCACGGCAGAATCACTTGCAGAATGTTGCCTCTCGGATGGTGTCTCGGTCGTTCTCACAGCCGCCGCAACCATTTCTGTGTCTTTCAGAATATTTTGGGCCCTGGCTAGCAATTCATCGATGCCCAGTTCGTCCAGTCTCAAGGATGATTACAGCAGCCAACTAACATCGTCAAGAAGCCCAGCCAAAAAAGCACATTCCAATATGTGGTCAGTTGCTCCGCCAAACGGTACTGCTAGCTTCCTTAAATCAGCTAGATAGATGTCCACCATCTCACCTGGTTTGAGCTGTTGCCCAACAAACTGCTTCTACATGATGAAGGAGTCTGTCCCAAAAGCAGTGTACAGGGCACGCTTAATTTCTTCCAAATCCACATCATACTTAAGGTGTTGGTATACCGCATAGGCCCCTTTCGTGAGTCTCAGTGGGATAACCGTCGCTGGTTCTTTCACTTTAAATTGTCTGCAGACCCATTCAGCTTTTTCGAACCATTCGATGATAGATGGGCCCATGTGAGAGCCGTCAAATTCAGGAATTAATTTCAGGTCGAACTTATCCATAGTTGACAAGAGCCGAAATAGCTTGTAGATGTTGTTGTTGCAATCCGCAACATCTAATGAAACTTCCTGAAACACAATATTTTCTTGATACGCCTGGTGTAAAACCGTAACGACTGATAAACTCCTTCAATTTTCTCAATAATCTTCTTCTGCACCTCTGCTTTCTCCTTTACACGAGTCTCCTTCCACGTTACAAAAGGGACTCCATTTTTGTAACTCCCCAGATGCCAGCATTCAGCGTTTTTATCTCCTTTTCTGCCTTCTTTCATTTGCATGCATGAATCCAGTTTCCGTGGCTATACGAGACTGTCCACGTGAGGATATGTGACCATTCACAATACAAGCTTGCTGGGGGCAGCCATGTTTCTTTTTTCGGTCAAAAAGATAAACCTTGCATGCAGAACATATGCGCTGCTGTTTGCGATCAGGTGGGAGAATATTTTTGTTCCAATTATCACTACAAACCTTAAAATAGCTTGCTTTCTTCCTAAATTCAAAAGTAAATTTTAATTTTGTAAGGAAAGTCTGGGATCAAAGTTACAATTCAAATCAGTGGAGTCTATAACTGCATTCTTGATGTTGGCAACAAAGGTAAAATGAACATTCTGATACCTGTAGACCAGGTTCTTGATGGCTACATAGTGCAGATACTCATTGATGCATTGCAGTGGTAGATTGCATAGCACCCAGAACAAGTGTGACCCCAGAAATGCAACACAGACTGTTTGGAATTGTTTAAAATCTAAATTGATGCTTACTTACTAAAACTTACTAAAACTATTACTAAAAATCAGTAGAATCATCAATTCTAAATGGACTTCTATTTCTGTGGTGGTCAGATGAATAAAAATGTATATTTATATTTGACTTTTAACATAGCAAAAAATTCAGAATGTAATTAACCTTCAGGAGAGTCAATCATCGCACATTCTTGGGATAACATTTTCTGTTGTCATGAAGTGGAAAGACTATATTGAATCAATTGCTATGTTTTCAATTAGGAAAGTTGATTTACTGTATCATGCTAAATAATTTTTTTGCCAGAATCTATCTTACATATTTGTAAATATACTATTCATCTATGCTTTCAATATTGCTGCCACATTTGGTCTGGTGCTCTTGTTATATATTTAAAGATTCATAATAAAATCCAAAGAAAAATCTGCAATGTTGTTGGTCCTGACCTAGCATCTCAGCTTCAGTCACTTTCCCATTGCTGTAACATAACTTCCTTGTTACTTTTCTATAACTGTTAATTGTTCTGAAGAACCTTCCTCTATGGTAACTAGACTTTATAAATTTAAGTGGAGTACTAGATTGCTGATAAGTTCTCATCAGTTTACAGTTGAAATGACTAGATGTAACTGTAAGTTCTATGTTAATAGTTTCTTCTATTGCATTTTTTGCTTGTGGAAATCTTTTCCTGTTTCTTGCTTTCCAGTCAAGTTTGATTTTCAAAAATTTAAATGCAATGTCAATTGTTATCTTCTGTCTTCTTAATTCTGGTTCTTTTATTGTTCTCTCTCCTTAGTGCTTTTATTTTTTCTTTTATTCTCTCTCACTATCTTAGTGTCCATTGCTTTGCTTAGGGTGAATTGATTAAAAAAATGAAAAGTCACTTTAAATGTTAATTGCCTAGCTTCTAAAATGTTAATATTTTTGTAATTGTTAATTTATTGATTTTTCATTTTTCTAAGGGAACTTATGTTGTTACACAGGCTGCCGTGAAAATGATGTTGTCAGAAAAAGTGGAACATGGTTCCATTGTGAATATCTCAAGTATTGTTGGAAAGGTTTGTTATTACAAAATTTTCACCAATTTATTTATTTTTGTTTTACTAAAGGATAATAATATTATAAGAGATAACTATCTATGGAAATGATTATTGTATATATCAGTGTATAATTCAATCTGGTTTCAAAGTCACTCCCTAACATTCTATTTTTGTTAATGAACAAGTTGATGCAAAAAATAAGCCAGCACCATATACCACTATCAATATTTTCTTTGTGTAAACCAGAAAAAATTAAAATGAAATGTGATCAGCAAATATGTATGACTTATGTATTACTATTAAAATATTTTGAAGGGTTTACATTTAAGAATAATTCTGGTTAAACTAAATGAAAAAATATACGTCTGTCAAACAATTTTGAAATATGAAGTAGGAGAGTAACTTGTAAAGATTTAATTTTTATTTATATCAAATGTACAAACAAGAAAGTTTCTTTGATTTTCTTTGTATCCTTGCTTTTAATGTCTGAAACAGCTTTGAAACGTTTTTTTTTTCAAACATTTAATTTTTTTTTGTTGTGCAAGTGATGTTTACCATGTACAAGGCTTAGGATCCATTCAGGATAGAGGGTTACAGAATAAGAGTTACTGTTTATGTGGATTTGTGGAAAAGATAACCATTAACACTAGATTTGAACAGGTTAAGATTGTAGTGGTTGGGAAAACATCCTCTTGTGAGATGGTTATACAAATCAGAAGAAGCTGCTTGAGTGGAACTTATATCTCACCAATGGAATACAAAGGGAATGAGGATGGTTCACTACAATATGTGTAGTATGATATGTCTTAGCTGTGAAGGTTAGAACTGGTGGAACTAAGGAATGTTGTTCGTCTGTACACTTCCCATGGAAATAGAGATAGTGCAGTGAGAGGCTTGCAACATTTAATCAGTGAGAAAATGGTTGTAGTGTAGAAAACAATTTGTCACCCACAAGGATGTGGAGATGCTTTTGGACTATTGAGACTGGAAAGTGAAGAATGAACAACTTCTGCTCATATATGGCAACAGTACTCCATCTGGCTCTTGTAAAGGTAGAGTATAGCAGGAGGAGTCAGGTACTTACTTGAGCACTACAGGGAACTGACCATTTTTCCAGATTGTATGTATGAATCCCACTTGAAGTCTTGGTTGATTTTAAGTCTCAATAGGTGAAAAAAAATTCTTGAAAACTGGGAATACACTTGATACCTTCCATAGACTTGGGAAGGATTTCTCTTTCAAGTAGGAGTTAATTTTTCTAAGATCAGGGATAATTCTGGGTTGATATTCTGGACAACTACTGGAATTTTGTCTGGACTAGTAGCTTTCTTAGAAATCTTGAAACTTCCTGAGCTGTAATAAAAATACTACTGAGATTGAGACAGAGGAAAGTTTGAAAGAGGATGACCTATATCATCTTATGTTGAGTTAGAGGCAAAGATTGAGGTGAAGAGATTTGTCTTATTTGATGAGGATGAGATGACCTATTTATAATTGTATAACAGAAGCTTTGCCTCTATTCAGAATTTGGTTGGTGATATTCTAGAACTCCCAGGATCCAATTTGTTTGTTTTTAACATTGGCTTGGACTGCCTGTGCATAGCAATACTTTGCATTTTCTAGAACTTTCTTCCAATGATTGCAGGCAGTTCTGAATGCAGCAAGTGTCCAACTACACTGCTCCTTGTGATAGATATTGTAGTAGTGGTTACAGTGAGCTCTGGCTGCAGAACATTCAGGAGTGAACCAAGGTTGGCTGTTTGGTTTTTGATGAAATCTCCATTCCAAAAAGTATCCATTCTGATACAAGCATAGCAGTTTGGGAGGCTGTATGTTTCATGAAGGTTGATAGAGGAGCTTCTGAAGCTCTCTTTGTGTTAAAAAAATAATTCTATGGAACAGCATATCTATGCAGACTAGAAATACCATCTTCTATAGACACCTGCTGGCTACTTGTCGTCAACAAACTGATGAGAGTGTAGACCAATATTTGCAAGCTTTAAAGAAACAAGGATTGCGAGTTCCAGGCTGTTACAGCTATACAGGCGAGAGACGAATACATACGAGACGCGTTTATAAACGGAATTTCGTCTAATCACATCAGACAACGACTCCTGGAGAACAAAACACTAGATCTAGGCACTGCTTATGACCAGGGGCTAACACTTGAGATGGCACAGAAACAATTAGCATCCTACTCTCACTAAACACTTCTGTCTCTACTGCTCAAACTGAGGTAACTAACGATGAAGATCAGCCTGGGTGCTATGAGGCCGCCATCTCTGGACAAAAATGCTTCTTCTGCGGGAATCAGAGACATGACAGAATTAGATGCCCTGCCCAAAACTCCATTTGCAAAAATTGCCAAAAGAAAAGACATTTTGCTCGTGTCTGCAGATCACCTACTGTAGCTGCTATCAACCATGGTGAGTCTATTCTTGCATCTTCCATTCCATTTCATAATTTCTCAGAGAGTCTATCTTTCACGACATTGCATGGAAAAATCAAAGGCAAGTCTCTAAAAATACTTATTGATACTGGCAGCTCTGAAAATTTTATTAATTCTGATGAGGTTAAAAGGCTCGGATTGGCAATCTTGCCAAGTTCAGAAAGAATTTTTATGGCTAGCAGTTCTCATTCATCTTCTACTCTTGGACATTGTATAGTATCCCTCAATCTAAGCGATAGAGAGTACAGTAATGTCAAGTTGTCTGTTATGGCTAACTTATGCTGTGATGTCATTCTTAGGCATAATTTACTACGTCAGCATTCTTCAGTAAAAATACCTTTCGGGGGACTGCTTCCACCTCTCACTGTTTGTGGACTAACTGCAATTAATAATGTCCCTTACCTCTCTCTGTTTGCGAATCTAACTTCTGACTGTCATCCAATAGCAGTAAAATCCAGGAGACATAGCCTACCTGACGCTAAATTCATTCGTTCAGAAATATCGTGGATGCTAAAGGAAGGAATTATAGAGCCATCTCAATCGCCATGGCGAGCCCAAACTCTGGTAGTGTCTCCTGAAAATCACAAAAAGAGACTCGTCATGGATTATTCCCAGACGATAAATTGGTTCACTCTTCTGGATGCTTATCCACTTCCTCGGATAGAGGACATGGTAAATGAGATTGCCTGTTATCAGGTATTTAGCATATGTGACACGATAACTAGGCGTATATTAAGCTTGATTTGTAAAATATGTATTTTATTTTAATAAATTAAGAATAGAAAACGGTTAAGAATAGAAAAATAGTTTAAAAACATGTGTTTCGTTTAACAAAAGTACTAAGGGGAAAAAGAAAAGGAAAAAATAAATAAATAAATGCTTTTTTTCTTTTATAAGTAAATTCGTGGAAGAGAAAAGGGCATCAGATTACTGTTAAATCCTACCAGTCTTCCAATAAAATATTTAACTAAGTGATTTGATGTGATAAAAGATAAACTTTTAGGAAATAGATTTTAGATGACCAAGTCAAAAACTGTCTTTACTGTATCTCGGCAACACATTAAGGAAATAAAGAAAAGATAACAGAATTTTCCCTTTCTCCAGGCAATAAAAAAAAGAAAAGGGCTATAAAAACATCCGACGGCCTTCACACGAAGATTTGTTAAGATAAAAAAAAAATCCTGGAAAATTCATCGTTGGAGGCCGAGTGCAGACGGGATGTTTACACATCAAAGGAAGCAAAATTTAAGTACCTTGAAATTTTGAACTTACAGTCGCCAATGCTTATCTTTTGTTTTCACCCGGTGGTCTAAAAGACTTCTGAGAATTTCAATATAAATACAAGTGATTTTTCCGAGCCGAGCAGTTCAGCCGGGCGTGTGCTTGAAGTAGCCACGTGTGTCAGGCACACTGAAGAAGTGAAACTCCGTTCGTCTGAGTCGGTCGGTTCGGCATTTGATCTCCATTAGTTAGAGTTAGAGCTGAGTGTCACATCGCCTACCCCAACGGCAAGACTAAGTCTGAATGAAATAAAGCGTTGATTAAACTCACCTAAGTTGTGGAAGTTCGTTCTTTCAAGGGTTTATCTTGTGCCCCCAGCTTGAGACTTCGACTTTTTCAACCAACCCCCGGCAACATCACAGCGTGGAGAACGGCCGCTGGAGAAATTGTACGGAGCTCACAAGGGGTGTTACACACACTTGATTTAACCAGTGCCTATCACCAGGTTGCCATCAAGCCAGAAGAACGAAAATATACTGCCTTCGAAACTGCTGGGTTTCTGTACCAATTTTGTCGAATCCCTTTCGGAGTGACCAATGGAGTAGCAAGTTTCCAGCGAGTCATCGATGACATTATCAAGCGAGAAGACCTCCGAGGAACCTATGCCAATATCGACAATGTTACCATCTGCGGTCATAACCAGGCTGAACATGACAACAATCTAAAGAAATTTATGAGTAGTGTGGCAAAGTATGGCCTAACACTGAATAAAAGTAAATGTCATTATTCACTTAGTTCAGTGGACTTGCTTGGGTATACTATAAGCATGGGTTCAGTAAAACCTGACCCCGATAGACTCAAAGGATTGGTGGATCTGCCAGTACCTCAAGACCATACCTCTCTCCAACGAGCAATGGGGATGTTCTCTCACTATTCTAGGTGGATATCAAATTTCTCCGAAAAATTACATCCCTTAATTAGAGTTACCCATTTTCCTCTCACTAAAGAACAAACAGATGCCTTCAGGCATCTAAAGAAGGAGATCGCAAAATCATCCCTGGTGGCTATAGACTCTACTCTACCTTTTGAGATTGAGACTGATGCTTCGGAACATGCTATTGCTGCCTCTCTAACCCAAAACCTTCGGCCTGTAGCTTTCTTTTCAAGAACTTTAACTTCTGCCAAGCAAAAGCACTCATCAGTTGAAAAGGAGGCCTATGCAATTGTAGAAGCAATCCGAAAGTGGCGACACTTATTACTCAGGAGACATTTTAAGCTCATCACAGATCAGAAATCGGAATAGATTTCTAGTAGAATAAAGCTTCACTCAAGCTATACGAACTCACTC